GACTAAAAACATAAACCGATTATCAGTTATATACCAATAACTTATATTTACAAATCAATAATAGGTCATGTAATTAGGCGATACATACATAAGGAAACATGACTGAAATATTTATTGCAAAATAAACCAACATATAGGGGTATACAATGAGGTAAACCAAATAACTGAGCAAGCAATTAAGTCTATCAATTTAATTCACACAATATAATAGTAAGTATTTTAAGTAGTACAGGTAAAATAAACAGTAAACCAGGACAAATATGAACTGATTGGTTCTGCCTCTATTAGTGACCTGTAATTATTCTTAGGATGTTCTAATTTTCACAAAATACAGTATTATCGATTATTAAGCTTTAATTTATATACCAAGGAATAGGGTGATGAATTCTTACCTAAATCAGTGTTTGAAATACTGCACTATCTATTGCACCTCCTGGCATTTCTCAGATTTTTTGAATTTTTTTAATGGAAATTAAAGCACTCGTACGTATTCAAAAATACTCCAAAAAGCTAAAATAGACATTTTAAAACCTTTTCAACTAATTTTTAGGGTTTCAGCACAGTGGTGCCGTCGTGCTCCAGCACTTGCGGTGGCGGTTCGCCTCGGTCTTGCCAATTTTGATCAGTTTAAGCCAGTTTTACACGTAATTCTACGAAAAAAATATATTAAGGAGTCTCGGTTGGCCAGAAAAAGCAAAAAACTAAAACCTACCGGCAGGGGGGTCTTCGGGTGTAGTGGCTCTACTAGTCTTCCTTCGCGGTTGTGGTTCCTCTTCGGCTAACCTGCACCAAAAAAAGACGGTGAACACGGTGATTAAATAATCACGTGAAACGAAAAACGAGAAAGGAGTCATCGAAGAGGGTTTTGGATTTTAACTGCAACGGCTCGACCGAGCTTTACCCATAGTTTTCGACTCACTCATTGACCCTTTGGCTTCGATTTGGGCATAACGAGACTTGGGATCAAATTTCGAGTGGGAAGGGAAAAAAATATCTATTTTAGTGTCGGCAGGGGCTCTGGTGCGGCGGCGACGGTGGTCGGCCTTCTTCTTCAGTGTCTGGTTATTTCCCTGATTGCCCTTTTTCTTATTCTCTAGTCACCCCTCTGTCGGCTAAGGTTTTGATTCCCTACGAAGAGGAGTTTAAATACTCCTTTCCATTCGATCTAGGCCGCTCGTTTGAGTCGACATGGAGCAAGGAGAATCGTTCAATGATTTTTCGTTTAGGTTGATTGCATGGACGAATCTAAGCCGTCCATCGTGATCAACCCCATCCATCCGATCGCGTCTGAAAAAGAAATGCATCTAAGCTGTCCGTGCGCGTAGAATGTGATATGGACTGTCAAATCACCAGACACACGGATCGCCCACGTGACCTCTCGTGTGGTGCTTATGTCAGCGTATTTGCCATGTGTCATGCTCTGGTTCTCGTGGCTGCTAACTGAGCCATCCCATGTGGCCAAACTTTTTATTTTTTTGCGATTTTACCCCATATTTTTAAATTTTCAATTTCATTCCTAATTCATTTTTTCTCAAAAATTTAATAAAATTTTAATTAAAATAAATTTTTTAATTATTTATATATATTTTGTAAATAAGAAAAATTATTCCGGATCAAATTACAGACGCGATATTACAAATTATGTCAGATATGTTTAATAATATCATATTTAGCATTAAAAGAATTTAACTTTTCAATTATTTAATAAAAATTATAAGTATAAAAAAAAATATTTAACTTGTAAACAATGATTTTGACTCAATTAAATTAAAAAATTTTGTAAAATATAAAAGTTAAATTTTAAATATTTTAAAATAATATAGAGATTAATTTAATATTTTAATTTTATTTTAAATATTTTTTTAAAAAAATTAAAATAAAGTTGCATTCACTCATTGATACCATGATCTATGTTCAAGTATTAGGGCCGTCTGCTTTTTCTAGCGAGCATGATTTTAAAAAAAAAGTGTTTAAAAAAAAAAGACTATTTACCTTACAGAAACATAAGAATATAAATTGATAATAAAACAAATCAGGGTAAACTATACTGATTATATTTGGGAAGGAAAAAAAGGGTATGCAGTATATGAACAACCTTATTTCTCTGCTAATAAATAAATAAATAACTAAAGAGATCAAGAAATAATATTAAGCAGAAATGATTATATCTAAAATACAAAAAATAAATAAATGATCTTACTTTTCAAAAATATTACATTTACGTGTATATATATATATATATATATATATATATATATGTGTGTGCAATTTAGATAAGTATGAGAAAACTAAAAAATAGAAGTGACCATAAACCAATTATATAGTATATATTTTTGCTTATACAAAAACACGCAAAATAATAATTTAAGTTAAAGTTTTAAATATTTATTAAACCAATTATTCAAAAATTAAGTTGATAAGAAGTAAAATAACTAATTATTATTTATACTTCAAGCAAAAATAGCCCAAAACAATTCAAAGAAATGAGAAAAAAAAATTCTAAGTAAAAAAAAAAAGACAAATAGTTGAACGTTCAACCATAATTCCCATAAAAAATTTCTTAAGTGAAAATTTAAAAAAAAAAAACATGCACATATAAAAATAGTTGAATATTCAACCATAATTCCCATTAATAAGTACTCATTAATGATCTCAAACTTTTGTTAGTATCTTGAAGCCAAGATTATCATAAGAGTCTTATTGATGTTTTGGCATTTCGAAATTGAATATAGACATCAGCTTATGAAGAACAGTAATCGTTCTCATTGTCAAAGACTATGTTGGCAACTGCAATAGCGTTGCTATTGTTGCTGATAGTAATACCTTTAACTTTATTCTTTAATAGAGCTGAAGAGTTTCCTGGTATGCCGATAGAAAGAGTAGTGTCAACCGATGAATAATCTTTCTCATTGACAGTTGTCGATATACTTGTAAGGCAGTCAATATCAATGGCAAAAGTGGAAGGAAGAGCAGGTTGTGAGGCTCCGATTCCAAGCGTATTTAATGCAGTACTTTTGTATGTGCCCCACACAGGATTTTTTGAACTAGGAAGAATATCCTTGTTAGGCCAACAACACTTCATTTCATCTATTCTCGCACATCTTGTTGTTGGTTCAAATTCTATTCCGGTACTTTTATAAGAGAATATATCGCTATTAAGAACAACTAAAAAAAGAAAAAGTATATTAAATGAGATAAAAATCCAATGTATTTTGTAGAAATTTAATACACTTATAAATTTTAAAATTTATACTCTAAAACAAAATTCTTAAAAAATTATCAAGTGAAAGACAACCAACAGAGTTATATATCATAGTACAGTAGGAGAAGAGTAGAATTCTATTTTCATTATATAACTCATAACTCAATTTCTTACGATTTTTATCCTTATAGTTTTCATTTCTAAATAGAAATTTGTCATTCTACACCTAATAGTATGGATCAAATCATTAGTGTGTTAGTGAGGAGTAAGCAATGGTCTGAATCGGCTAGATTGGACCAAAATCAAATGAAAAAAATTTTCTGATCCAAGGACTTAACCAATGTAACTTCAATCCAGACCTATAAGAACTAAATATTTTCAATTTGGCCCAGTCTTGGACTAAAGTAGACTAAAAATTTGATCAAAAAGCAAATTTTTTTAAATAAATGTTTATATATTAATATTTTTAATTTTAAATATTAAAGAACAAATATATATTATTTATATATTTATTTTTTAATAATTTATTATATAATATACATATATATAATACATATATATAGTATTTACATATTTATTATTTTTATTTTTAATATTAAAATTTATTAATTAATTTGTATCGAACCTAACCAAATTTAGACCAAGTTCATTCGTGATCTTTGGTCTCAAAAATTTTTGGACTAAGAACCAGGTTAAACACTGTTTAGTATGTTCCAATCTAGACTGAATAATGCTCACCCCTAGTGTTAGTGGAGCTGCACCCCTAGCAATTCATGACACTTTGGATGAAAGTATGATTAAGTTTCCTTATTTGAAATAGTCACAACAACAACAACAACAACAAAAAAAAAAAAAAACTCAAACTAATATTCTTATTTTTTGAAGAAGAAAATACGAACCAAAGAACATACTTTTGGAAAAAAATTAATAAAGAATATATATGATGATGGAATGATGATGGTGTTTCTCTTTCTTTTCTCCTACATTAAGGAAATACATACACAAAAAAGAATAGATTGAACTTACCTTTTCCTACATCAGAATATTTGAAACTATTATTATTGTTGTTCCAGATGCTGATTGGGAGATTGGAACTGGTGGAAGCTAATGAATTTACTTTAGAGATTTTATTTTGTTGAACATGGTTGTTATTCTCACCAATTGCATTAGTGCTGGTACTACCTGCAAAAATGGAGTTATAATGCGATGAAGAAAGAGTCATGAAATATTATTATTTGTACCTTATGAAATCTTTATATCATTTTAGATTTGATATTAGATGGGGATAGAGAATCTAGATAATTAGGTTGAGAATTTTCATCAACCTTGTTATTTTTCGATCGGTTTAAAATTAAAAAATGTTCATCGGTCCATATCAAACCAAACCAAATTTGGACCAGGTTAGACAAAAAATATTTTATCTAAAAATTTTTGGATTGAAGGTCGGACTGAACATTATTTGGTTTGTTCTAATCTAGATTGGATAATGCTCACCCTTAGTATTAGTAGAGTTGCACTCCAACAATTCATGGTGCTTTCGAATAAAAGTATGATTAAGTTCCCTATTCAGAGTAATCACAACAAAGAAAAAAAACTCAAACTAATATTTTTATTTTTAAAAAAAAATTTTGATTAAACGACATACATAATTTCATAAGAAAATTAATCACGAATATATATATGATGATGGAATGATGATATTGTTTTGCATTCTTTTTTCCTACATTAATGAAATACATACACAAAAATGAATTGATTGAACTTACCTTTCCCTATATCAGAATATTTGAAACTATTATTATTATTATTGTTCCAAATGTTGATTGGAAGATTGGAACTGGTAGAAGCTGATGAATTTACTTTGGAGATTTTATCTGGTTGAACATGGTTGCTATTCTCACCAATTGCATTAGTGCTGGTACTGCCTGCAAAAATGGAGTTATCATGTGAGAAGAATGAGTCCTAAAATATTTAATTATCTGTACCCTTATGAAATATTTAAATCATTTTA